AAAATCAACATTTCACCTCCCCCTATATTCTCGATGTCACGCCGTTCCAACCCAGTAGTAATGAGCTGGAAGAGTGGACGTGGTAGCATTTATGCAAAGGAAGTTCTTAAATTGCTTGTTAAGTGCCAAGAGCACGTCTTGAAGACACCCTAGTTGTCGCTGGGTACATCGGTACGTATGCCTGGACAGTCCCACAGGGATTGATTCAAAAAATGTGGATCACTACACAATTTATTGTTTTTTTTACAATAGATTCAATACAGTGTTTCAATAACTAGTGTTTCGAAACACCGTGTTATCTCCGTAAAATACGGCTGGAGTGAGACACCATATTTTGCGTATATTTTCTAGGTGTGTAATAGTTTTTTATTTGTACAATGTATACATTTAAAAAAACTATGAATCGAGTCTTATGATTAGCTGCCAGCAACTGTGCACAACCCTTATTTTAAACAAGTGTCGTGAACTCCATCATATGCTGAGTAGAGTACGTTGATATCTATGCGCTTTTATTGTCAAGTTTCTAAAGCACACAGGGCGGGGGATAGAAACATGACGTAAGCCCACGGATTGTAACCTTTCGCACGAAGTCGCAGAGGGACTGCAGAGGTGCGTCAGCTGTGGTCAAGGATGTTCAAAATGCGATGATAAGGTGGGGGACAAAATCAGTGGCATACGGTACTCCTTCTACAACAACAGATTAATAACCGACTAAAGGATACAGTAGCAACAAATAATAGCGATGGTACTAGGATTTTCAAGCAATGTTCTGCCGTTACCACACCATAGTAGGTGTTATCCATTTTCACGAACACACCTGTTGGCTGTGCAATTGTCGCGAACAAAAAAAGCAAACGACAACCATATATCGACTGCCCACGAAAAGGGGGAATCACGTAACGGCCATCATATGGCCGTCAGCATGGAGGTGGTCGTCCGGCTCGTCCATCACCGGGGCTAGCGACAGTAGTGGATACGCGGGTAGTCAGGACGGCCGTCAGTCCTTTCGTAACAGTCATAGATCCTGACTGCATAAAATCACGGGGATCATGTAACACACGGTACGATACGTTTCACACGTAAAACTACTATGGTCCGCCTCTTTTATGCTACGACGACAAGATAGCCCCTCCTTCAACCAATACCCGCCTCGTAGTGGATTTGTTTTTAAAGATGCATCTACTACTCCTCATTTGCATGCTTCGATGTTGCAAAGGACACCTCTAGCATCTCGCAGCACGTAGAAATATGACCTGGTCTCAAAAATCCGTCGCGAATAGTATCCCCGTCGACCTCGACCCACGCTTGCAGGACAGGCTCCGCGATATATTAATGTGCTTTTCTGGCGTTTTTTCCGACGTGTTCCCTGAGTTCCGCCGGTACTTGAGAAACGATATCGGTCTTTGTAAAGTCAGGCATCTCATCCATAAAATATACCCAAACCCTTACGTATCTATCCAGCTGGTCGAATCAATTCAGTTTCGATTCAACCAGTGAGGCGAGGACGGAGGCGAGGACGGCGGCGACGACGGCATAGAGGACTCCACGAGGAAGGACAGCAGTGAGTGAGGACGACAGCAAGGACTCGCTAAGGACGGCGCCAAGAACTGGTCGGCAACGACGGCGGTGAGGACAGCAACTGCTGTCTTATCTGCAGCTATCTCTTTGGCTGTGTAATGAGCTCACTGTGTGCCCACTACTTCGGCTTACAGGTTAGCGCACGTGTATGAGGAAGCGTAGCTTGCTTAAACTTAGATTAACTATACTTACGGGACGTAATTTACTTAAACAAGCAAACAAATGCCGATTTACCGTAAAATTGAGAACTGTTATTTATCTTTATGTTTTGTGTTTGGGTTTCCTCCTAAAGTGATATTCTAAATGAAAGGTATTTGCCAACGAGTGGTCTAATTATATGAAACTAGTAAGGATGGAGTCTTGACCCTTTGGATGAATCGACCCCAAAACATCATTCTGTAGGTCATCTCAAATAAAGATAGCATCGGCCACGGCATAGCTTGCTCCGTTGCACTTGCGCGATAAATGCAGAATAATTTCAACTACACGTATATAGCGATAGTGTG